GGGGAATGCGAATGGGCATATAGCCGATTGATGTGTTTGCATGATAATCACAACCAGTGAGTGGTTAAAGTTGTCGTGACATGGCTCAGAATTGACTATAATAGCTCAGGTATACTCATTCTTTATCTTTTTCTGAATCTTAAGTTTAAGTATCCCTTCACGCCTTTCATTCTTCCTGTCTTTTCGAACTATCTCCTCAGTAGGCAGTTTCCCCTCATTATCATTACTGTTCTAGTTTATTTCGTTTCCTTTTATGTCTCTCTTGTTAATTTAGTCTCATCTTGTTAATGTGGTGTGGGTAACTTGACTCAACGCACACATGTCCCCTAGGCTCTATGTAGATTATGATTGTAGACCAGTATGTAATTGCTTTGTTTATATTTGTCCCCATAAACTGATGTTGTAATTTGACATATATTTGTATAATATTTTTTAAAACGTATTCATGTCACGTCACTCAATTGAAAGAGAATGGATTAGATCCACACGTGTTAAAGAATTTTTAATCCAATTTATTCAGCGCTAGTGAATCATTGTGAAACGAACCATAAGTTTCTTAAGTAACCTCTATCTCTATCTTTCGCTTTCTTAAGTTATCTCAGCGGATTATACTTCTCGAATTATATCTTCGAACCCTAATCTTCTCCATTACGACTAATACTTCTATTATCTCTACAACTATGGGATTTGAACTGACAATTGCGTCTGTATGCTGCTGCGGTATAGCAACCTGAACTTATGTACTTATGTACGAAGTTCTACGTTGTAATTGACTTGACTAACTTTCTTAAGTAATCTATAAGTATATAAACACAAGTGTTTATTATGCTTCTGTATAATTGTCCTAGTATTTGTGTAGTGTGTTCACTGTTGTACACGGGCTCCAGGATCGTGACAGAAAGAATTGTGTATGAATCTATAATTGGTCACTGGCTACCATGGAACTGCATCGCCTGATGTCACTCCACTGCTTCCAGGTTTTTAATGGTGGTCTAACGATGATTGATTGATGATTTCAATATGCAAAAAAAGTACTAATCTCCATAGCTCTAATTTAAAAAAATGTTCAGTTTATTCTTTTACTCAATCGACATTAAATAAAGACATTTGTTTTAGTATTATAAATTTCTATCAATACAGTCAGTGTTTGGTAGATTTTTCGCTCATCTAATTTTTTACCAATCTAGGTTATCTTTCTAGCAAATAGTAGTTACTTACTACTCAGTTCGTTTTTGTCAGCTCGAATGTAATCTAACGAACTATAGAACAGATCGGGCAGGATTAGTAGTAAAATCTAGGATGCATTTGTCGTCATATTTAGGGTTCATCATCAAGATGTACATGCCTTCCAATATTGATGTCTACACAGGGGACTCGACCTTATTATCATTCTTTTCTGGATTGTCGATGCATTGTCCTTCAGGCTCCTAAGTCCAGATAGTCACTGAAATGTTTCAATTGTTTTGATAGATGTTAACATACCATTCTTAGCAATCAAGATTAATTTTAAACTCAGTCAACAGTATATCAAGAAACGTAACGACTTTACCGTGAATCAAAATATAATCAAGTTATTCCTTAATTTTTTTTTCCTTGAAAACTTATCTTAGATTGTTATTGTTCCTTGTGGTATTACTGCAAAAACAACTGTACAAGATAAAGAAACTCTTTTATCTGCTGCCAAATCTGTATATGAATTATTAACAAAGTCTAATAATAAACAATTTCGTGTACGTTGTGATGATCGAGACAATGTATCACCTGGATGGAAATTTAATCATTGGGAATTGAAAGGAGTTCCTATACGTTTGGAAATTGGTCCACAAGAAGTAGCTGATAAGAAAGCTTGTTTAGTTCTACGATATAATGGTGAAAGAGTAAGTTTCTGTTTTTTTTCTTCTTCCGGGTTCGATTTTATGAACTGTATATTACAACATTATGCAAATCTTAATATACATTGATTACTTGTACAGCTAGACACCAGAAGTGCCATATTTGCCTATAGGCGATTTCGTCTTGGTTACGAGCGATATTTGTTCACATAATAGCTGATTTAAACAGGTGTTTGTAAGCCTTTAACCCAGAGAATATAGTCTCGTTAAGCAAGCAGACATTTTACTAAAACATGGCAAAAATCCATGAAGTCACTGTCAAGTGGACTAAGTCATGTCGGTAGGTGTCGATTACCTGGTTGGGGTCTGCCAGATGATAGTAATCGGTAGTTACAGACCTTGAATGACATGGCTCAAAACTGTTTTCAATGGCGCAGGTGCATTCATTCATTGTGTTCTCTCAAATTCTAACCTTCTGATTAGTGCGAGTAAGGAGAGACACTTTCTTTGGAGGGTAATGTTACGTTCGTTTGCATTCTCTGTCTTTATTCTTCGATAGTGAATGCCAATCTGTCTTTCAGGGTATCTGCACTTGACAGTGGTCATTGCACGGTAGTCTATGTTTACAATTTTATCTCTAGAATCACTTTCACACATGGGAATTTAACAGACTTTTTTGTGCTTATCTTCCGAAAATTCGTGATCAAGCTTTTTGATAATGTCGCTCTCGATAGATCCTTTTGCTTCTAAACACCTCACAAAAATGGACATCCTATTCACTTGACTTGATAGTTACCGACATAACAATCATCAAAAATCATCTACTATTTTCATTAGATTTGTCGGTTTACACCGACTTCAATGAAACAAGTAATTTGATTGCTCTTCAAGTTGTTTTAGTGCTTCTCTTACCTGTTATAACATTTTCATGTAATTATTCTTTGTCTTTCTTAAAGATGATTTCAATGTGTAAAAAACACTAATCTCCATAACTCTGATTGAAAATATCGTAAATCGTGCTCACTAGTGACTACTAGCTCCGTGAGGAAATTCTCGTAGTTTTAGTGAGAAGATGTGACCAGTAGAGTTCTTCCCTGTTGAGTGTAGTCAGTAACTACCAAAGACAAATAGGTGAGGTCGCGCAAAATCTCTAGATTGATCAGAATTAGACATCAAGACCGTTAGATACCGACTCAGTGGTCCAGGGTCCTGGGTTCGAATCCTGGAAGGTGCAGGAGTCGTAGGTGCTCACTGCCACTGATGAATCCCATACCAGGAAGAAACGGCCGTCCAGTGCTTCCAGGTTTGTAATGATGGTTGATTATCTCAGTGTGCAAAAAAAACTAATCTCCATAACTGAGAAAATTTCTTAAAGATATCGATCTTATTTGCTAATATTTACATTGCCAATAATTGAATACAGTAATCTCTTTGTACTTTTTTTTAAAAATTCCTGATTATGTAAATGACAGATAAATGTACCAATGAATTCCCTGATTGATGAACTACCTCATATTCTAGATGATGTGCATAATGCAATGTTTAAGAAAGCGACAAAGTCATTAGCTAGTCATGTTGTGCCTGTGAATAATATGAGTGAATTGTGTACAGCTTTGGATCAAAAGTCACTTGGTTTAGCTCCATTCTGCGGTGATGGAGATTGTGAAGAAATGATTAAACATGAATCTGCCCGGTATGTTGACTTTTACTTTATTTTCCTAACATTCTTATATAACGCTTTTCGAGTGTTTGTAACTGAATTAACGGTTGTGATATCCTTCCAAAATTTGTCTACATGTTTTCACCACACTTTGTTAGCATCTAGTAGCCTCCATTATTGTGCATACTATTTATACACACTATAACCCATTGAAATCATGAATCGATCAATGTTAGAAATCTGGAAGCACTGAAGGCGGCCGTTTCGTCCTGGTATGGGACTTATCAGCAATGCGCACTCACAACTCTTGCACCTCTCAGGATTCCAACCCAGGACCCGGTGGGGGTCTAACATTAATCGATTCATGATTTCAGATGTGTAACTTGACAGTCTTCACAACCCCGTAACGCAGTGACCTGTGCTAACTAGTCACTAGCTCCGTGAGGAATCTTCTCCGAGTTTTATTGGGAAGTCGGAACCAGTGAAGTTCAACCTGTTCGGGTGTAGACAGTAGCTACCGAAGACAGTGTATGAAGTTGCGCAACTCCGTGAATTGATCGAAGTTAGACACTAACACCGTTAAGATACCGGCTCAGTGGTTCAGAGGTGAGGCGTTCGCATGCAAGACCGAAGGTCCTGGGTTCGAATCCTGCTAGGTGCAAGAGTCGTGAGTGCTCATTTCTGATGAGTCCCATAGAAGGAAAAACGGCCGTCTTTCAGTGCTTCCAGGTTTCTAACGGTGGTCTAACTTTGATCGATTCATGATTTCAGAAAAGTAACTCAACAATCTTCACAACTCCGTAATGCAACACACTATAACGCTTTTATGTCAAATGCTAATCACATATGCTGTGTGTGTTGTATTCGAAAAATAGTTATAATTGCTGTTTCAAGGCTAAATATATCCACATTTTCACAGTACTTACTTCTTTGACAATCTCGTAATTTTATGAAACTCAGCATAATCGATTATGATGATTCTTACTAATAGCCAGTGAGGGTAAGGTAAGAACGAACTGATTTCAAACTCATAAAGCGGGTTTCGAATTCCGTGTAGACAAGTCTTCTGTGAACCTTAGTATTATGCCCTTAAATACTTTTGTATAACACTACAAAGTCTGACTTGATCCCTCAGTCTTATAACCGCTCTTGACCAAATGTTTCATAATGGGGGATGATATTTGTCAATTCTGTGATCTCATTTGACCATTGGAATTCATTTGTTTTTGTAACCACTTAAAGTGTGTTCAACTATCCCTACTTGTAGATTACGATTACTCCTCCGTTTGTAGATGCCTCTAAACATACATGTAAATTGGTAGATGCAATAGAATATGATGCAGTTGTTTACATGCTGTTTGGGTTTTTGGTGAACAGTAGTTGACTTTTCGGTTATGAAATGTTAGGCTGCGTTAAATGTCTTACAGCTAATTTAAATCTTTGTCTCAGCACAAGAATATTTGAGTCATTTCTATACGGTAGGGTTTTTCGGGTTCCGAAAACAGTCGGTCTCATCATATCGTTGCCTTACCACCGGTTTATAAACCCTGATGAATAACCATTATTTATCAGTACTTCAGTTTAGAGCTTTACGTTCCCCTTAATAGCAAAACATCGCTTGTGCAAATGCGACCGGTCCTATTGAATAACTCCTTTATTAATCCACGTTTGTACTGGACTGGGCAGTGACTATGAAAACTAAGCTGTTGCCTCGTCCATGTCGACTTCGTATATACAGAACGTTTGATGGAGCTATCGTATCTTCTACTAAAGTAGAATGTCTTGGAAAGGATGTTAGTCATCTATCTCTTCACATGTAAGACAAATATGCTTTTGAATGGTGTTGAGTTCCTTGAAGAAGAGATTCAAAATCTTCATATTTATCATTTATAACTATGTCATCCATGTACCGTTTATACAGACACATCTTCTGACTTCAGTTTTTGGCTACATTTCCCACATGTGCCATAAACACATCAGGCAGCACAGATCCGAAAGGATTGTCCATAGCTACACCACTAATCCTTTTTCCTGAAATATATTTTTGTTCAACTTGAACCTCGCCTCACCTTTGGCTTTCGCAACATGAACCAGCACACCTGGATATGATTGACGAATATTTACTTGATGAATGGGTTAATGATGAAAATTGTCTTCATCAGTTGAACCACTGAAGCAGAAATTTTCCTTACTCGTGTTCCGAGAAATTGATTCAATTTTCCCAGTTATTTGCAAATGTTACTTGACTTTATCACATGATCAATCTGGAGTTTGTCGATATTCACTGAACAAAAAGTGTAAAAATTCTATATTGACTAGCTAAATTGAAAGTGCCCTTTAAAAACTACACATTTTTGTAGGGATATGTTTATGTGCCGTTTAATAAATAGTTAACACACTTCTTTGCTAATGTTGCTGGAAATCGGTAACTGTCTGTTACGCCTGCACGTAAACACATCATTTGATATGCTTGAACTATTACGAGTTTACCTAGTCGGAAAACGAGAGCGAGGATCCGGTGACACGACATGCTACTCAAATCCCATTATCCCAACCCCCATATTGAGTAAAAAATAACAAGACTTGATATGAAGTAGAACCTGTATTCTACAAGCATTCAGAATGTACGAGTCCGAGTCCAGAAGAGAATCAGGATCTCGGACTAGGGATCCGGGACCGGGTCCTGGTCATAGAATATTACAGATACAGCGTATTTATACATTTTGGTCAAATAGGAAACAGCATCGAAGTCTGTGACATTGATAGTCAGGACAACCAATAATAAGAAACAACATTGTAGCACGTGACATTGATATCTAGGACGACCATAAAATTGACCAGTAGAGGAATTAACCAGTAGGAATCGAGGAATAATTCTCTCCTAACACTGTTATCCTCATCATCTGGAATTCTCTGTATGCTTTGTTAAGGAGCAGTGTATTTTTTCT